TATGAATGCTGATCATGATAAATTGACCAACCTGCTTTTCCCAATGATTTCCGTGTTTATGGAAATAATGAAATGAATATCACCATGCAGCTTAAAAACTTCACTCTATTACGCTTCAGACACTTCATAATATTTAGTACATTGCTCAGCCCACAACAGTTATGCCAGTGAACATTCACACAGAGGGAAATGCTTCTCCATTCGAAGGCTTCTTCTAATCCCCTAAACTCAATCACTCATTCATCTTTGTTTCTATGGCATTTTCCTTCTACTTGTGTTACAGAATTTTCACAGTCTGACTGGTGTCCTAATCAGCTGTTAACATTCCTGTTCCCCATCCAAACAATGAACGTTTTCAGTCCGGGATCAAATTTAATTGATTTTTATATCACTAGAACCTAATATTGTGTTTGGCACATTCTAGAATCTCAGTTAGGTGATTTTTCAAGATGATACAATGTTTTAGTTCTTTTTCTTTGTCCTATTTTTCTTTACATTGACAGCAACTGGAAAAATACCTGATATAACCTTAAAAATAAATTTTGCTTGACTGCGTCAATGAATGTGTGTGTGTGTTGTGTGTATATTATAAAACAGGAAATAAAAATATCAAACCAAGATATTTTTACTGAGATTTTTTTAATGAAAAATTCCTTTCTGCATTCAAGAGAAAGATTATAAAGACACATGTTTTTCAAACACCAAAGAGTTCCTTTTAAAAAGATATGAAAATAATAATAATTTATATAGGGTTCGTGTGGGAGGGGAAAATGAGGGCTCAAATAGAAAATATTTTGAAAATGGCTGATGGCAATATATGTATAAAAGTGCTTGACCTGGTGGATGGATGTATGGATCGTGATAAGAGCTGTAAAAGCTCCAATAAAATGATTTTTTAAAAAGTACTTCTTCAATATTCCTTATTAATATACAACTTTTACATATGTATGAGGGGACTGAGTTAGTTGTACCTTCATCCTCAATGTAATATCCCTGGTTTTCAACACTT